AGGGTCACTATGAGTCAGAATTGACTCAATGGCAGGTAGGGCTACACAGTCTATTACTGTAATGGCTGTCAGTAAGTTGTACACCTGTAAAAAGTTGAACTGGCAAAAGTCGTGTGATATATTTACAAAAAAAAAAAAAAGAGCAGCTGCTGAAGCTGCTTATGTACAACCAGAATCTTCATGGGGTCTGTTTTTTTAGTTTGGAGGTTTAGGGTCATGGTTTCATGGGACATCTCAGTTAATTGCCCTAGTAACATGCTTAGTGCCTCTGGTCTACCTCCTAGTTCGATGCATAGTGTCTGGGGTCTTAAAAGCTTTGAAGTGGCCATCCAAGGCAAAACAATTGGTCTCTATTCACCTGGAACAACAGAGCAAGAAGGAGAGTCAGGAATAGGAAGAGGATATGGAAGGTGTGACTAATTGCTTCCATGAAAAACCGCCTCTTTTGCCGTGAGACCTGAAGAACTAGATGATACCCAGCTACCATTACTGAACATTTTGATCAAGGATTCCACAGAAGAATCCTGATCAAAAGGGGAAAAATACAGAACAAAATTTCAAATTCTCATGGACTCCAGACTTCCTGGAGCCATGAGGTTGGGTGAACCCCTGAAACTATTGCTGTGAGATAATCTTTAAAACTTAAACCAAAAATATTCCTTGAAGTCTTCTTAAAACAAAATAGTTTAGCTTAACTAGTAAAAAAGTTCTGCCTCGAGCATTACAGCTCCTTTAAGAACTAACTATATGGGATCAAATTGACAAAAGCAACTTGAAAGATTAGATAGAAACCTTAGGGAGCAGTGAATTTATGTTAATGGAGGAGAACAACTCAGAAAAGGAGAGTGAGACTGACTGCTCTGACAGGGATCGCAATAGGGGATCCCTGACAGAGCTGGAGAAAAATGTAGCACAAAATTTTAACTCACAAAAAAAACAACCAGACTTACTGGTCTGAAAGACACTGCAGAAACCCCAAGAGTATGGCCGCCGGACTCCCTTTTAACTCAGTACTAAATTCACTCCTGAGGTTCACCCTTTAGCCAAAGATTAGACAGGCCTATAAAATAAAATGAGACTAAATGGGCACACCAGCCCAGGGGCAAGGATGAGAAGGAAAGAGAAGACTGGAAAGCTGGTAATGGGGAACTCAAGGTCAAGAAGAGGAGAGTGTTGACATGTCATGGGGGTAGCAACCAATGTCACAAAACAATATGTGTATTGTTTAATGAGAAACTAATCTGCTCTGTAAACTCTCATCTAAACTACAATTAAAAAAAAAGGGTGAGAATGGTTGCACAACTCGAAGAATGTAATCAATGTCACTAAATGGTACATGTATAAACTGTTGAACTGGTGTTTGTGTTGCTGTGTATATTCTCAACAATAACAACAAAATAAAACTGTATTTAAAAAAAAAGTTAAACACAGAATTACCATATGACCCAGAAATTCCACTCCTAGGTAAATACCCATGAAAAATGAAAACATATGTCCACACTAAAACTTGTACATAAATGTTCATAGCAGCATTATCATAACAGCCAAAAAGTAGAAACAACCCAAATGTTCATCAACGGAATATTATTCCACCCCACAAAGGGATGAGGTACTGATACAAGCTATAACATGGATGAACCTTGAAAACATTATGAAAGAAGCCAGGCACAAAAGACCACAAATTATCTGATTACATTTATGTGAAATGTTCAGAATAGGCAAATTTACAGAGATAGAAAATAGGTTAGTGGTTGCCTGGAGCTGGGGAAGGAGTCCCTGGGTGGTGCAAACGCTTAACCACTCAACTACTAACCAAGGATTCATGGTTTGAACTCACCCAGAGATGCCTCAGAAGAAAGGCCTGGTGATCTGATTACGAAAGGTCATGGCCTTGAAAATTCTATGGAGTGCAGTTCTACTCTGCACACATTGGGTCACCATGAGTCAGAACTGACTCCTGGGTAACTGGCTTGGTTTTGGTTTGGGGGGCTGGGGAGGAGGGTGGGAGGCCAGGAATGGGGACTGACTGCTAATGGGTATGGGGTTTCTTTTTGAGGTGTTGAAAAATGTTCTAAAATTAGATTGTGTTGATTCACAACTCTGTGAATACATAAACCACTAACCCCGATTATATATCTAGGATTGGCAAATGTAAAGAAATTAAAATTAGTGGTTACCAGGGGCAGGAGGGAGGGAAAGAGGAGAAGTCACTGCCTAGAGGGCATTGAGCTTCTGTTAATGGTGATGGAAAAATCTGGAAACAGATATTGGTGATGAACCTAATTAATGTCACCAATCGTACATGTAAAAAAGGCTGAAATGGCAAGCGTTTGTTATATATATTTTACACAATAAAAAAGCACTGAATTGTACACTTTAAGTGGGTGAATTTTATGATACGTGAAATATATCTCAATAAAGTCATTTTCTTTAAAAAAAAAAAAAAAGGCTATATCCGAATCCAGAATTTCCAAAATTTCAATCATTCAATCAATACTGTTATATTTGCCATAACTAAATACCATGCATACTATTATTTACATAATATTT